AATATACAAGTGGTGATCTGTATTGTGTACAGAGTAAACACGCTACCATGCATGGCCATGAGTGCCTCGTGTATTGTTTGCGAGTATTTAATGTGATAAGTCGGGAGTGTATCTGCTTCTAGTTAAAAATTTCATGCGTTTTCACTTTTCTGTGTAAACTTTTTTATAAATATTGCTTTTAATTGTCATTGTTCACCGATAAATGAAATATTTATCGCTCCACTACTGAGCATCTCATATGATTATAATTCAGCATATGCATGGTCATGTTTATTCAGAAATCGCATGCTGTAATCTAAATTGATTGAAATGGGAAATGAATATAGGCTGTGAAAAATATAAAATCTTTATCAAGCGAAGCATCGTAGCATTTTTCTCCGACTCTTCGGAGCCATCGTAGCCAATAAATTCTTACACTATCGTGCACGCAGGTGCACTGAATCTATTTATGAATCTCCTGCCACTGAACATCTGTTGCAATATAGCTGCTCCATCCAACAACGTTTCAGCTGTTCCAAGCCTCGGCATTATTTATACTATCGACAAGTTCTGCGGATCAATGTCTTTCTTCACAGCTCACCACTTGGTTTATAGCTTCTACGTGTTTACAAACGGAAGCCTGCGGGGCTGCATTTCCAATTCGGTAAAGAAATGGAAACTCTTGAGATTCGTTAATTTATTTCTATACTAATCATTCATATTACATCACAGCTGTAGTCATTATCACTTACGCCTAACACACAACATTTGACTACGTTTCTTGAGTTCTTGACTGATTACACGTTGTTTAGTGCTGGTAATTTCCATGCTTTTTTTTGGGTGGCCAAAGATTTTCAGTCTTTTAGTTTAAGCTTATATATCAATCAATGTCAACATTTTTCAGAGGGAAACCATTTTTTCCTCGCGGCAATTGTTGAACCGAGTAACAAGGTGAATGAGTTTGTCATGCGATGCGGTATGACCCTTTCACTTTTTTTGGCTGCCTTTACGAGCTTGTACTGACAGAGCTTCCAAACCACAAATAATCATTTTGCCTGCGTAGTTTTACAGTTTACCTCCATAATCTACGCAGATGAAACAGATTTACGACAACCTGGATATCTTGTGGAATCACCTATTGGCATGGTCATTTTTAACTCTTTGATGGAAGCGCACATTTAATTTAATCAGAAAGCTACTTTAATATTAATTTCCGAACTTTTTTATTTATTTCTTTGTTGATGTCTATTGTTTTTCATTTGCAGCTTTAAGAGTATTTTTTTCATTTGCGCCGCTTATTATGACAGATATTTTATTCATTACTTTCTGAATCAAGTTTTTTTTCCCGCTGAAATTATATTAGCATATATACTTCGATCGCTAAATAGGTAGGTGAAATTTGTAGTTCAACTCTTGAGCCTGTTAATGCTTTGTTCATATTTGATGCAATATATTACATCTTCTAACGTATTAATATACACATATTTTCTGAAGTGCGGCATATTTCGAGTATGGAATAGTCCCAATTTTCTTGAATTTCATCGCTATTGTCTGAATGTTCAGACTGCTTTTAATTAAGCAGCGATTATTACGGCCAAATCGTTCTTATCGTATGTAATATTTGAATCATGAAGTAGTTATCATGACACTCATTCTTTTAACTGTGGGTTATTTAAGTAAGTTCCTGACAATTAAATTAGGTGGTTTAAAGAATTGTTTGGTTTTTTTAAATTCTAAAATGCAAATTTGGGAAATTTGAAGAGGATGGTATTACTAGTCTTAAGAGCTCCTCTTGAAGTGACTGATGATCCCATTTTTTGTGGCTTCGTCCACAGTGATCGGCTTCTTATGCCGGGTCCTATTATATAGCGTCGAGTTTAACATACAATGATACCTCCACTTACGAACTTCAGTCGTCGTTCCGTGCCCGTGTTAGGAAATGTTCTTGGATATAATTGAAATGGAAGCAATATTAGCATTTAATATGTATTTTATGTAGACAAATAAAATATAGCACCGAATCGGTTCTGAATGTAATTCGATTCGTAAGCAGAAACATGTTCGTATGTGAGAGCAAAAAATCTCGAACCTCCGGTTCGGATCTCTAAGAGTTTGCAAGTAGAGGCGTCTTATCACTTATCACAAATTATCACTGTATATTTTAAAACTTTGCTTACATGCTTTTGATGCCTGCCGCAGTATGTATAAATGTAAAGGGTCAATAATTGAGGTGCGAACTCGCAATATACTACTTTGTCGAGAACCTGAATCTGATACTTCTCTTTTAATACGGGAATTAAGAGGCATTGCAAAATAGTATGAAAATGATTAGATTGGGAATTTTAGTTGATTTTATTTGGTGAACTTCTTATTTATTCAAAAAGAAAAAATCCAAGTTCGAAACGTGACTAGTTTTATGTCAAATGTTAGTTTGAATTTGACTTTCTGATATTTAAAATAATTTGGGTTAAAATTAATAACGGGATTCTAGATAATGGTATTTTCAAACCTCAAGTATGATACCTATATTCCGAGCTATGCCATTTTAAGCTCAACGAAATTTTCGATTTTCTATGGATTTCTCATCAATGTTTAATAATTGATCTTCATTGAATGCTGCTACTTTACTTTTCAAATAAATTTCAGTTTGTATACTCAATCAAGAGTCAGAAAATCTCAGAATGCATTCATACGGGCGTGAATTTAGTTAACTATGATATTTTTGCATGATATTTATGCTACGTTTTAAACCTGAAATTAACCGCGAAAGAAAAATTCCGCCTCGCATTTCACCGTAAACAGCATTGGTCGCCTTAGCAATCGTAAGATGGGCAAGTCCAGCCAATGGCTGGCTACTAGGTGTGCCAGGTACCGTATGCGACCTTGTGTTTATGCTAATATTACTCTTTTTAGCGCATTTTCTCATTTATGGAAAAAATGCACTATTGCGCTCGCCATGTCCGTCTGTCTGTCTGTCCGTCTGTCTGTCTGTCCGTCTGTCCGTGACCTCAAGTTTTCGTCGACGAGAAAATTCGCTCTCTGTCACTCACTGCAGTGAGTACTGAGTTATATTTTCTTATGTATACTTGCTCAAGTACACGTAGCGTCGATTTCTCGTTTGTGATTGGCGGGTTTAGCTTGAAAAGCCGCCTCTGATTGGCTGACGAAGTTACCAACTTGTAACTAGTTTTGATAGTAAGGCCCGTGAGAGGTACGGCTGATGTTTTTTTACCACAAATTTTTCGAAAAAACCTTGAGCTTGGTTGTATCTCGTTTCAAATTTAACATGTCATAAAAAGCATGTTATCCTTTCTCAATTGTTGTCGTTGATATACCTACTATATGGGTATGTTTAAGCCGTGAAAATATTCATATGTTGTCTATAAAAAACGAATGTCCATTATGCCAAAAAGCAAAAACTGTTTGTTACTCCCAGGAATCAATCAAACCAACTTTAGGACCACCGGTGTATCGGAAACCCTTGGCCGTCTACCATTCTTTATTCGTAGTCAAGCTACGAAGTGAATTTGGTAGTCAAGCTACCAAATATCTTTGGTAGTCAAGCTACCAAATGTACTTGGTGGTCGAGCTACCATTTGGTAGTGTCACCCTTGGCGGCCATTCTTAGATTTCTCAAGCGCGCTGTCACAAGCGATACCGCGCCGACGCTCGTTGTTTACATTGTTCCAGTGACTGCGTGCTTTGTCATCGGTAAACTTCGTAGGCAGCGTTGTGAGGTCAATATCCTTGTTCTCTTTCAATACAAAGCTGAAAGAGAACTTCAGTCTTCTGCGTCTCCATTCTCTTCCTCTCATCAGTCCCACTCTTGACTCTAGTGCCATTTTATCGCCTTATTTGGGCTCTTCAGCTCCTTACGCTCGCTATATCCTCTCCTTTCACCTCTTTCACCTCCGTTCCTCACAGTTCACACCATCTTCGCTCCCGCTCCTTACTCACTCTCGATATCCGCAACTCATTTTCGCTTACCCTTCCGTTCCTCACATTCTCTTCACTCTTGTTTCTCATTCTTTACGTCCGCTCTCCATTCCCTCTCTTTCTTCCCTTTCTCTCCTCTCTCTCCCTTCCCGCCCGCTCCCATTCTCTTTTCACACTCTCTCATTCTCCTCTCTCTCTCTTCTCGCTCGCTCCGCATTCTCTCTCCCCACTCTCTCTCTTACCTCCCCCCTCCGCTTCTCTCTTCACTCCCACTGTCCCGAAATAGCTCAGGCAGCGTTTCTCTCCAGGCAGCGCTGGCTCTCAGAACGCCGCGTATTGACCTACCATAATCTTCTTCATCTTCGCACATTTTCTCATTTATGGAAAAATTCACTATTGTGCTCGCCATGTCCGTCTGTCTGTCTGCCTGTCTGTCCGTCCGTCACGTTTTCGTCGACGAGAAAATGCGCTCTCTGTCACTCACTGCAGTGAATACTGAGTTACATTTTTTTCGTAATTGCTCATCCAGCGTTTTTTCTTGTTATACTACTGTTAATTAATGGTCCAATTAAACTTCTATTTATTACATTTCCGGCTGTTTGTTAAATTAATTAAATTATCTCGCGGTCAATTCTAGAATTGCATTGTCATATCATTCAGGAGCCTCAATATCCGGAACTTCGATTTTTTGCCTTAGCCCCCTTATCTTCTTCAGGATACATCTCTCAATATTTGTAGATAGATCCAGTTAAGTTATATATGAATCTAGTTCGTATTTCTTTTCGCTTCAGCAATCGTTTTTGTAATTGTGACCATTGTATTTTATTTTTGAATGCCGTCAAATCATAGACAAATTTCAGAGAATTTAGTGCTTTAATTACAATGTCCATGGAACTACCTACCTACTCTAACAAAATTTAGAGTCGCCCCAGCTTCTGGTAATCCAAATCAGAAGCTGCCGCGCCTGTAAATTTTCACTGGGTAACAAAATTTAGAGTCGCCCCAGCCTCTGGTAATCCAAATCAGAAGCTGCCGCGCCTGTAAATTTTCACTGGGAATCTACTATTAATTTCATGTTATTTCAGAATCCTGGGTAGATCTCACGAAAAGCAACCCACCGACTCCGCCACATCCTCTTCAGAAGCAACAGGATCCACCCAACCCACCTCCCTGCACCCACCTGGACAATAGTGGTGCTACCTCTGGTGCTGTCACTAGTGCTGCAGCTAGTGACCTGCCACCACCGCTACCTCACGTCACTAGTAGTCCCTTCATGGTGCCTCAATCTCTGGTAAATATTCTGGACACTTTGTGAATAATTTACTACCGTCAACTGGGGTGACTTCGGCTACAGTTACAACAGAAACAAATGGCAGCAAGACAAAATAATAAACGTTGGCCAAAGTCACCCCAGTCACTTTGGCCAACGTTTATTATTTTGTTTTGCTGCCATTTGTTTCTGTTGTAGGTGTGGCCGAAGTCACAACAGGTGACGGTACTGCTATTTTTTCTAGTATTCCTGTTGACAATCGTACGTGTATTCTGGTTGTATTGGGGTAGAACATGTACTGAAGTATTGGGCTTCAACCCGGTAAAACGGGGTATTTTTACAGGTAGAGCGCGTAAAAAATTCTATTAGGGTATAAATACGGGTAAAAGTCTATTGATAACACTTCACTTTGTGATAGTTATTGTCCTTTAAAATACATTTTACATTGGATGAAGTATAAACGCTTCAGAATCGAAAATTTCACAAATTTTAATCGTCTAATTGGTACCGTCATATGTGCTGAATGATTCTAAGTCCCTCGTTTCAATTTTCGTCGTGTAATTGGTTTATCCTTCTCCTAAATGCTTCAATGTTTTCCTTTTAATTTTTGTCATTGAATTAATCCATTCTCCTAAATCCGTTCAAGTTCATAGTCTCAATTTTGACATTGAATTAGTACATATGGTATGTACTCTTTTAAATCGTTCTAAATTGCTCGTTTAAAGTTTTGTTCCTTAATTAGTATATCCATCCACTCTCCTAGATCCTTCATCGTCTCTCATTGCAGTTTTTGTACTTCAGCCATCAGGGCGACTGGTCTGGACGTTCTTTTGATATTTATTTTGGCACTTCTGTCATTTATGTATCCGTCTCCTGTTTAAAATTTTGAAATTGAATTTGTACTGCCTATTCCCAAAAATATCTTTGCCATTTACATTTCTTCTACAATCTACATTAAATTGGAATTCTATACAATTCGTAAACTTATCCCCGTCTCAAATCCTTCCTTGCTCTTATTTTTGCGTCAATAATAAGTATTACTCGGAGGATGAAACACTTCATAAACCCTTTCTAATCATCCTCCCATTAAAAATTTTCTCATAAAATTGACAATATTATTCGTCTAAAACGTTTTCACAATATTATTCGTCTAAAACGTTTTCACAATATTATTCGTCAATACGTTTTCACCATATTATTCGTCTATACGTTTTCGTTGCACAGGACTCATCGATGTTGCTGCAGTCCTCGAGCGCTGTTCCAATGACGAGCGCCAGCTGGGCCGAGCAGCACGACAGCGTCGGGCCGTTGGGATTCGGCAACGGCGAAGAGTACCTGCGACTGCTGAAAGAGGCGCAGAGAGAAGGAAGCAACCAGAGCTCTGCCTTGGTCTCCCTCTCTTCCTCGAGACGAGACTCTCCTAGGGGATCGTGAGTTACTTTTTGCCCAGGAGAGTGTGAATTACTTGTTCGAGGATCTCTCATTGCATGCTAGAAGAGCGCATTTCACTTGTATCTGTCTCCAATCTATGCCAGAAGAGCGCAATTTACTTGTATATATCCTTATTGTATGCTAAAAGAGGGTAATTTACTTTTATATCTCCTCATTGTATGCTAGATTCTCTTAGTCGCTTTGCTTAGTCGCCCAGTGGTTACAGTTCAGAGTACCAAGATTGGCACAGAGAGGCGCGGGTTCGATCCCAGCTCTGTGCGCCAGTTTTTGGTCAAAATCGGCAAGGAAACCGGGCGGTCAAGCACAGCAGAATTGTAGCAGCGAGTTGCGAGTACGAGACCGCAAAATACTGTGAATGTTATGAATCGGCGAAAGGCCTACGGCCTATTAAACGCTGAAACCGCTATTAGATGAGCGTAATTTACTTGTGTATCTCCTTGCTGTATGCTAGAAGAGCGCTAGTTACATACATCCCACATTCTTGTTTACGAAAGGAGCGAGCGTAACTTTTATACCCCTTCAAGAATTCTAGATGAGCGTAAATGACTGAAGTCTATCATTTTTATTCTTCATCACATATCCTATAGACTATATAAGATAGTACTAAAGGACACCATCGCGAGCTGATAGTAAATCCCATCAATTTTAGTGCTCGTTCCACAGTGACTCGCCGTAAACTTCAGTTGCATGCGGTTTATGAACGGGATTGTCGTCTTCACTAATAAGATTTCTATCCTCATCTCCTCTTTAATACTTTCATTACTGAAATAATAATTCAATGTAATTAATCCTATTGATATCTTTTTCAGCCCGAAGTCGCCACCAAACTCGCCCAACACGGAGCTTACGGCGGACGGGAGGCTGGAGCAGCTGGGCACCGTATACATCAACTACTACAGTAAAGACAGCGACGCCTTCGTCAGGGTCGAGAAGAACACGGACACCGACTGGGTCTGGGACTGGAGCAGCAGACCTGACCAGCTACCACCCAAGTCAGGCTTTAATTCGCCCTTTGTTATATTCATGGTCATCAAGTTTATGATTATTATCCGTTTGATTTGATTAAATTATTTTTCTGCCTAACTGTAGCACGACGAGACTCGATAAGCTACCGCCGAAGTCGGGCTTTAATTCGTTATAATCATGGGCATCAAGTTGTTCATTAAAATTCCACTTTAGTAGTTACAATGTTTTTGTACCTAGCTGGAAAAGGACTCAACCAGCTACCGCAAAAAATTCTTATTCGTCATTTAATATTATTCATATTATCATTTCATCCTTCATCTTCATTTTTTTAAATTTAATACGTTTTAGTTTAAAATAGAGCCGGAGACCCGGCCAGCTTTTGTCCATGTAAGACTTTAATTCATCCACTATTATATTATGTTCATGGTAGTCAACTTGTTGATTATTATCCGTTTTAGTTTAGTCACAATATTTTTATTATTTAGTGAAAAAAAGGTAATGACGTAAATGTTTAGCAATATCCTCCATAACTGTTGTTTTTCATTATCTTCGCACTTTCACTATATCTGAGTTCATTAACCATGCAACATATTATTTTGAAATAAATTCATGATTACTCGGTCATGACTCGTCCCAGTTAAACACAATAAAAAATATAACTCAGTACTCACTGCAGTGAGTGACAGAGAGCGCATTTTCTCGTCGACGAAAACATGAAGTCACGGACGGACAGACAGACGGACATGGCGAGCACAATTGTGCATTTTTTTCATAAATGAGAAAATGCCCTCATAAGACTTGCACCCTGCAGGGAATGGCACTTCAGTCACCCTGGTAGCACAGCGAGCAGCAGCTGCAGTGGTGGCACCCCCGTCGGCAGTGGCACCGCCTCGGCAGCAGCTGGCACCTCACGCAAAACCAGGTTGGCCTTTTACCTACACATTAAGAATCATTCTAAGTTATGGCAGGCACCGTCGTGGCAGCGACTGCCACCACACGCAAAACCAGGTTGGAATTTTACCTACATATTAAGTATCATTTTGTCATTTTTAGTAATGGCAGGCACCGTCGTGGTAGTGACTGCCACCACACGCAGAACTAGGTTGGAATTTTACCTACACATTAAGTTTCATTTGAAGTTATGGCTGGCACCAACGTGGCAGTGACTGCCACCTCACGCAAAACCAGGTTGAAATTTTACCTACACATTAAGAATCATTCTAAGTTATGGCAGGCACCGTCGTGGCAGCGACTGCCACCACACGCAGAACCAGGTTTGAATTTTTTTCTACGAATTAAGTATTATTTTGGAAAATAGTTGTAGCTAAATTTTTACGCTGTCATCCTAATAAAAAAGTTGCCAGTATAGTAAAAAAAACAAATTTTTGTGTCCTAACATGTATAGAAAAGGCCGACGATACAAACAACTTGCACTTAGATACAGGGCGATTCACGGATATTTCCTGATTTGAAACCTCAACAAAAAAAGAACTTGTGAAGATATCATTCCAATATGAATTTTATTGAGAGACGACATTACCTGAATTCTGTATCACTTAGTTTCAAAGATGGCATCGGACAAATTACGGCCCCTATCATCAATGCATTCAGTTGGTCGATTTTTGAAGTTCCGTTCAACTCGCTGAAGCACATTGACGGGTTTATTTTAGATGGCTTGACGCACGTTGTTCTTCAAATGAAGCAGGGTCCTTGGACAATCATTGGAAACAATTAATTGAAGAACCCCATATAAAATCACTCGCAGCCAAACCGGGGGATCGGGTCGGCCAAAGGTCACCTCTCAAGGAGATGAGGCGCTCTGTCAAATGTTATCTCAGAAGATCCATTAAACATCGCGCGGTGTGGGCCGTGGCTCCATCCTGTTGGAACCAGACATCCCTGACATTCATATCTGCCAGTTTTGGCAAAAAAAAGACGTCTGCCATTTGCGTGTACCAAGCTGCAATCACTGTTACAGCGCGTTCGTTTTTCTCAAAGAATTAAGGGCTAATTAAGCCAACTTTTGACGCCGTTATAAATTTTTTTCAATGACTGTCCTAGGACGCTACCTCATTTGAAGAACAACATACGCCAAGCCATCGCAACTTACCCGTCGATATGCTTCAGCGAGGTGAACGCAACTTCAAATGTCGACTAACGTCATTTGCCCGATGACATCTTAGTAACTTAGTGATACAAAAATTCAGGTGATGTATTTTTTAATAAAATTTATATTGCAATGATATCTTTACTAGTTCTTTTTCTACGAGCTTTCAAATCAGGAAGTTTCCGTGAATTACCCTGTAATATAAATAAAAGTGAAATTTTAGTTCCGGTTCAAATATTCAACTCTAAATTCCCAATTGGTTTGATAGCGCAAATAAATGATAGCCTATAGAAATAATTCACCAAAGTAATAGAAGTATAAAACAAAATATTTGTACAGACATGCCGCGTGATCAACTTTTTGTACTCTGAAATTTCCCACTCTCCAGAACCACCATTTTTTGCAATTTTACTCTAAAATTCCATCCTACCCGGAACTGCTAGATTTTAATTTTTTACTCTGAAATTCCAGCTTCCCCGAAACTTCCAGCGTTGTTATATCAAATTTAAAATTGCACCCTCCCCAGACCTGCGAGCTGTGCCAGGCTGCCTGCCGTCGGGTGTAACCTGCGTCGTGGGGCGAGTCTTCGGCGCCTCAAAGTCGGCGAATCAGCGCTGTTCTCGCGCGGCGTTCTCTACACGCTCTTCCTGACCAACGTTCTGTCCTTCTTGCTCGGAACTGGTATAGGGTAAGCAGGTTTTTCTGCGTCCAAAAATATTATTTTTAATCAATAATGTTTGGCATGGCTAAATGCGAATTAAAATAGCTAAAGAGTTATTTTCTGCGTCAAACATTATTATTTTTAATCAATAATGTTTTTCATTCTTCCTGACCAACGTTGTGTCCTTCTTGCTCGGAACCGGTATAGGGTAAGCATAAGCAGGTTTTTCTGCGTTAAACAGTATTATATTTAATCAACAATGTTTTTCATTGCTAAATACGAATTACAATAGCTAGACCGGCATCGGGAAAGTAGGTTTTTCTGCGTTAAACAGTATCATATTTAATCAACAATGTTTTTCATTGCTAAATACGAATTACAATAGCTAGACCGGCATCGGGTAAGCAGTTTTTTCTGCGTCCAAAAAATATTATTTATAATCAATAATGTTTTTCATGGCTAAATAAGAATTACAATAGGTAAAAAGTTATTTGAGCAGCTTAAATAATATTAAGTGGATTGACTGTTTTCCATTTAATTTAAATATAATTTTTCTGAAAAAAAAGAGAAATATGCCTTTTGTATGAATTTTATTCATGGTCAGGACCCGATTCAGGATGAAGACTAAAGAGAAATTCAACACATTCTCTTTTTACGTCCGTTGATTGAAGTGCAACATCTGCATTATTATGGCTATAGTCCACCCTCCTTTGATCATCAAGTCGCAAGGCGTGAAAATATATATGATTTTATTAAATAAGGTCGCTTGACTCTGAAGGTAAAAAACTAAATCTTCCTTGGTCTTCAACTAAAGTCTCCCAAATTTTATGGTTTGAGCTTAGGATAAATACTCTCGGATTTGATTGAAACTTTTAAATGTTTCCAGAGTGTGGCTGAGCAAGCGAACAGGATCTCAGCTGACCGTCGCTACTCTGCCCTTCAACTGAACTGAGCTGAGACAGTCAGCGTTCAGTGCTGACTGTCCTTTGTAGCTGACTCTTCGTGCTGTCTGATGTCAGACTTGATATCAGTTAAGAATAGGACAAGCACTGGCTAAAGTCAGACTTGATAGTCCTTTGTAGCTGACTCTTCGTGCTGTCTGATGTCAGACTTGAAATCAGTTAAGTATAGGACAAGCGCTGGCTGATGTCAGACTTGATAGTCCTTTGTAGCTGACTCTTCGTGCTGTCTGATGTCAGACTTGAAATCAGTTAAGTATAGGACAAGCGCTGGCTGATGTCAGTCTTGATATAGGTCAAGTGTAGGGCAATTGCAGGAGCGTGTTAGACTATATAAGTTCATATAAACGCTATGAGAACGAACTCTGTGTGATGTTTGACTTGAACACGCTCATAAAAATGAATGGATTATATTATCTAAGTAGTGACACACTTTGTACATGTAGCACGGATACGCACTGTTCACGGCCCCAACCATGTCAGTATGACCCTCAGAAGTGCAAAAAGTGCATCGCTATTTGGATCATGTCTCACTCTCATTTCTCGGAGTTTCACTTATAAATTTTAAGAGAACAAGCTCTGGAGGTGTTACACTTGGGTTTATATAAACACTAGGAAGAAATGCGCTCGATGATGTCGAACATGATAGATTCATTTAAACGCTAGGAGAAAGTCGCTGTGGTTTTGGACTTATAGGTTAATGTTAAGGATAACTCTCAGTACTGGGTAGTAGTGTCCGTAAAAGCGTATACTTATATAGAATTTTTGTCTTTCTAGAAAATGTTTGGAAAATTTATTCGTGTATAGGCTTAGGAAATTTCACTATCCACTTTTGCCTTTATAATAATCAATCTTGAGTGATGAGTGTAAAGAAAAATTTGTACGAAAATTGGGAAAAGCATATAATTTGTCGTGCCTGAATGGCACCATTAACTAACATGCAATGCTATTACTTTCTTCTCTGGTAGAAATATGATGGTAGCAAGTGGACTGCAACTTCTTCGTTACTTGTTTAAATATTCAAACTTCACTGGTATTGTAACAAAAAGTCTCACACTGACGATTATGTTATAATTATCTGCCATATCGACACATAATAGGTAAATGGGCACCAACTCAGCCTTACTAGTAAACGTGGCATCTGTAACTAGTCTATCAAGGCTTCTTGCCCTCATGTATAATGTCGATGGTGAACTATTTCATTTATATAATAGCTGTTCGTGGTATTGAGTTGGGAAATAGTTGATCAATTTGCAACCGTAGTTTACATGTCTAGACTATAATGTGCTATTACTCGTATTTATTGGACGACTAAGTTTATTGATGAATACGGTTGAATAAAAACGTCTATAATATTTCTTCTCGTCTGAAGAACATTCTGCTCTAGAAATACTTTGAACTCTAAAGTAATTTATGAGAATCCCAAAGTAAAATGATTAAAAAAAAAAAACTATATCTCTCTCTCGATCGAGATTGGATTTGTATTTTATTTTTATTAATTGCCTTAAGTTCGGATTAACAACTTAACGACAGACGTTCTTCAACTTCCATGAAACAGCAAAATTTTCACCCGCCTGTAGAAATCCATTTGAAATTGATAAAAACCGCGATGATATGAGCATTGCATTAATTTTGTTGTGCATGATTAAGGAAAGAATTATGTTAATTCGTGTACATAATCTGTAATTCTTCTGCATGTAATGACAACACTGAGCTGAATCATCCTATTATTGCTCTAAATTTCGTTTAGTAATCGTATCTAAGTCGACCTAAGAAGCTGTTTTATTCGATTGTTTTATTTTAATACTTTAGTATGTTTATATCTTTATTTGTTTATTTGCCAAGCATTCGTTACTTCCTTGTATCCTGGGTGTTGCGGTAAATTAACGGAAAAATTACGAAGTTATTTTCATTTGTTCAGCCAATTTAGTGGAAATTTAAACTCTTTACTACTAACAAGCCCTTGCAAAACATTTTACTGAATAAAGAATTGAGATTCGCAATAGCTTTAGCATCGTACTTGATTTAATATTGAGAGATGACCCATATGAAACTTATGTCCAGTCCTGTGAGTCTATTCATTGACATAAATTAGCTACATGTTCAGAAGTTTCTCCATAATCAGCACTCGTTTTAACATATTTTGTTAACTGTTACATGCTTATGTTTACAGTGTGAGCGGCTGGTAGTAGTACTGAGTTAGTATGTACAGCAGAAGAATGCAATGTGGAGAGTTCGCTGTTCCATTGATCATCAAGTGCGTTGTACGTCAATACTTGCATTAACTATCCCCATTTTCGTATGCGTTCTGTAGTTCTCGTAGCGCTCATCTTTTAATTCATGATTAATAACCGCAATATCTCGTGAGTTCCCCGAGCATCATTACCAACTATTGGGTATCCTAGTTTTTCTAACATTAATTGTTTACCTCTTTATGCAGCCCACTCGATCTGCTTAATGTAAGGTTCGAATATTTGTATTTCTTGTGAGCTTAAAATCATCTTATTTTGAAGGAGATATTGGAGAACTACGGGTGAAAAAATTGTTTCAATACATCGCCAGAGATTTTGGTATTACGATCGCTGATATACTTCAAATAAGCCAGAATTGTCATATTTTCAAATATTTAGTTATTGGTAATGTATTATTTCTTTTGTCCTTACTGACCTCATTCATATCGATGTTGTAGTTGAAATAAGTGAGAAAATTCTGTAAACAGACCGTTTTTCTGAATAATGGCCCAGTTCAATTTTTAAGTATGAGAATATTCTAATCTTAATTTCCTATCCTAAGAAATTCACCATTTATTTGCATGACGTTATTGGCTTGAGCCCCACAGTTCTCTTTTACCTCCTTCAGCTAATATTAGTGTAAGGCGTGTTATTGCACAATGTACCAAATCTTAGGATTAATTTTTTGTCCCTCATCGGTGATTGTATTTTGTATCTATCCTATCTTATAATAAATAAAAACAATTCTACTTTCGGGTATTTCAATGATCCTTGTTATTGACCTTACAAATTTTTGCTAATTTGGAAAATCGTGTGGGTTACTCGAGTGGCAGTGTTCTGTTTAACATTCAAAATATATTCTAAGGGTGCTGACTAATGCTCACCCTTGAATGCTTGTTTTATAATGCACCCTGAAGCTCGTTTAGATGTTTAATTCAATTACTGCTAACAGTAATAGTTTGGTGATTTTTATGAATAAACATAAAGGAAAACTCGAAATATTCACAATTCAATTTGCGGTAATCGGTACGCCGTTCTTAGCTTCCGATTGCATCCAAATTGTTATAATAATAGCAATAACAGTTAGTGCGTTGACTTGGACGTTAAAAGTGATCGCAATTCTTAACATCACTGAACATTCACAGATTGTTGTGGTCTCGAACACGCAACTCGCTGCTCTAATTTTGCTGTTCTTAACCGCCCGGCCTTCAGGCCGATTCTGACCAGAAACAGGCGCACAAAGGTAGGATTGAATCCGCACCGCTGCTCCAATCCTGATACCCTGAACTGTAACCACTGAGCCAACCTGCTCTAGTCATTGATGTTGTCGGCCTGGTTATAGCCATGGATGATCGAATGGTTACTGTAGACTTCGAGAAACAAGGGAAGAATGCTTCTGCTTTGAATCGCAGTAGGCTATGACACTACAGCTCAGTAAAATCGGTGAGCCCAGACTCGGCTATCTGACTTGGTAAATTACCTCGGGCTACATATGCATCAAATAGATATGTTGGAAGAAATTCAGTCCGTGACATCATATATGCTTTACATTAAATGATATTTCAAGCCAGCATTTTCGAATAAGATGTCCAAGATTTCTGTTATCAACTGCCTACGTGATCGACAGTAGAAAGGGAAAAGTCAGAATATAATGGCTCATTGGAGAAAACGGCCGGAAAAAGGAGTACAAAGGAATTGCCCAGCTCTAGTGATTAAGGATCTACAACAGCTAATCATTTCATCTTAAAGAATTTAAGCGACAAATCAGGCCCAGTCAGGTGAGCAAGGTTATGAAATCACTTAGCAAGTCTAGGAGTTTAGTCACTGCGAAGAACGGAGTGTTTGCCCATAATTTTACAAGGTTATAATCGTGCCAAGATTAGGTATAATCCGAAAAGGGTAAAAGCGAAAGTACAGAGTTGCCCGTCTCTCCAGAGAAAAGGACAGTAATTTGAAGGATATCATTGCGCGTTGGATAGCTTGAAAATGAAGAATTCTAGGAATGGTAGTAAAAAAAATCAGAAAGACAAAATCATGTGGAATCCGGATCGGCTGATCTGTTTTAAGACGCCTTTTTATTGAAATGAATCAGTTGAACCAATATCAGAAATGAACTTGTCATTTGTTGAAGTATTGCGCGAAGTTTTTATAATAAGACGTCAACAATTGAGTTGTCTGCAAGGCATGCAGGGCAATTTCGGTGCAGACGTAGGCTTATAGCCATGCTTCAGTCCTTCAGTTCAGACCCGGGTCGACGTATAAGTCCTCCGGTTTATTTCGTTGGGCGGAAGCCTGTCCTAGCCTCCTATGGCTATGATAGCTTTATGTCGGCGCAGTTCCTTTTCCCCCTACTAGCATTTATCAATTTCATTTCCCGTTGATGAAGCTTTTTGTGGATGAAGAATGAGATCAAGTGTTCAATGTTCGTTCATTGTCGGCGTTGGTCGCATTTACGTTTGTTTCAACTTGTGTTAGAAACCAAATTATTAGGCACTAGAGACCTTTTTCGCATTAGCGCTTCTGTGATTACTGTTAAGTTGTTAACCAACCTTGAATCCTTGATCATCGATGTTCTGGAGACTGGATCTGGAAGCAATGAAAACATCCAGATAACATGAATTAAATTCCATTGTGTTTGGATTTAGCTTTCTTATCGTGTGACTGTGTGAGGAATGGCAAGAAAATTCACGCAAGAATTTGCTTCAATCAGTTCAATGTACCTTAGGCTTAGCGTTAGCGGCTTAGGCCTTAGCTTAGCCTAGCCTTACTCCTTAGAGTTAGGGTGTAGCACTGCAGCACACAGTCCACACACTGACACAGGTCAGGTGACAGGACACAGGTCTGAGGTCATACTGTTTTCTCACACTGACACACAAAATTATGTTTCCAGACTCAGAACACAGCCTCACAGGCTCATTGAGTCATTCAGGATTTAGCCAGCAGCCAGGATGCCAGTCATGCCACTACTATATCATAATCATGCCAGGTGGAGGTGGGTTGGTGGCAGGTGGCTGGTGGCTTGTGTGAGTTGTGTGACTGTGAGAGTTGGGCTTTGGGGGATGGCATGGAAACTTACTTTATGTTATTCATTGTGTAAAAAGAGATTTATTAGAAAACTGTTAATTTTCAATTTTTTGATTGAGTGCAATGCAAACAATTTTTCATATCCATGATGGGGCCCATGGTGCAGACTGCAGAGGGTGGATGCAGCGTCACGGTCATCACCAATATATGGGTTTTTAAGCCCTAAGCGTCGCCGGGTAATTTTAAGATGCGTCGCCAGGTAATCTTTAATGAAAAGCCATTTACGCTGAGTAATGAAAAACTATTTACAAGCCACAAACTTATTTACAAGGTTGCAACTTGCATGCACGTGTTACCTCTCCAAATAACTAATTTTACCCTAAAAACAGTCCCATTGTACAGCAAGTGTCAACTGAACATGTGATAATGCAGTCTGACCACTCTAACGTGACCGCAACTATGTAATCGTAAACTTGATGTTTACATTTTTTTGGTGGGAACTCATCGCAACTGATTTCCGGACAAGCTTCACTGCATACTGATCAATCCAACATACCGGAAACCTTACTTTTTTTAAATAGTTGGCCAAAGACTGACAAATATAGGGTAAACGCGGTATATTCCGACACATTAAGGACGCATCGAGAAATGAAAAACTATAAAAAAAAACCGTATGCGTTACATAAGTTCTGTTGCCTTCACGTGACTCTCAAAACACTTCACTACGCGTCAGCAACGATGAAATGTCACAAAATGTTGCCATATTTATTAAAAAGCCTTTAGAATGGAAACCTACCAAATCCCTATATTCCGTCACTGTGTGTGGCAATATTTGACACGTGGTGAGTTGTATTGCGTCAGCGCTTCAAATTTAACTGATACGTAATGCCGACATCAACGTATTCGAATTCCGTTCGCTGTGTGAGCTGTATTGGGATACAACACGGCTTTGAATTAGAACACTAACGAATATTGAACATTACTTAATTACGTTTTAATTAACAGCTATTAGGCTTTTAATTAAGCAAATTTCAATTTTTGTACAAAGCTTGGAACGATCTGTGTGTGTCCAATTCAAGTTGTGTCGGAATTAGTTTTGATGGGTCTAAATCCATCACTCAACTTAATCATCTATTAATTTATTTACGACTTGAAATCAGCGAATACAAGTTTACTTAAAGGATTCCTAATATATTCACAGACGTATTTAAAAGTCTCAAACCATAATATTCTTCCTATAAAAACAGTTATTCACTATTTGGTAGAGCAAGGTCAACTGTCAAATTTGACACATTTTCCGATGATCTCACCAGGTTGCATGCATTGTCTCTCTTTGGATCTCTATATTTTCCCACTAGATGGCCAAGACCTAGTGTTTTTGCAGTATTTCGACACGCAAATGTATGACGTCACCATTTCAACCATCAATGAACGCATGGAACTAAAACAAAGCTTAATTTAAAGGAAAAACTGAGAAGTGACGGAATTACCTACGATGTCGGAATATACCGCGTTTACCCTATTAAATGAAAGAATTTCAATCTAAATGTGTCGGCAAGATCTTCTGAAGGCATAAATTTTGCTACTGAAGCGTTGCCAAAGATCTTGCAATATTCATCCACTCTCTGCACAGTGGGATGGGGCCCAGGCCAGGCCAGTGGTTAAAGTTCAGACTCAGACTTCAGAGAATCAGAGTACCTACCATTACCAAGAATAGAAGAGAGAGGTGTCAATTTGATTGTTGAATTGATTACAGCAGCCTGCAGCAGCTCTGTGTCACACAGTCACTGTGCAGCTTTTGCTTAGAATTGGTAAGGACTGAGGAGGCTGGGGCTGCCAGGCTGCAGGCACAGGCAGAGGCAGTTAATCCAAGCAATTTTGGAACAATGACTATAATATAAGTTGTGACTTGTGAGCACAAGTATGGAAAATGTCTACCTGTAGGCTTTGCTTTAGGGCCGTGACTAGAGGTTTCTGGTTTCCCACCAATGCCACCATTTCCGGAACTGGGAGCACAAGATTTCTCCTTGATGAATTGCCTCCTATCCAATTGTTAACAAAAGTGCATGATCAGGCTGCAAGATTCCAAATGAATTAGAAATTCATCACTTTGGTGCCACAAGATTTCAGAAACAAGTTGGAAAATTCCAATTCTGTGTGAGCATAGTTGCAAACCAACCAAAGATTATTTAGAATCAGTTCTTTCCTAATTTTATCACTTGGTCAAGACTCAAGACTAAAGATATAAATCAATATCTAATGTATGATAATGCTGATAGCCTGATACCATGATACTTTGCTGATCTACTTATTATAGGACTCAGAATTGAACTTGAGAATGAGTCCAAACTCTGAAAAACTCTGCTTTACCACTATGGTCTGGAGTATGGACTGAACTTGTGAGTTGGCAATCAGCAACTGCAACAAGCAATGCATATTGGCAAACCAGAGATTTTGTATAATCAGTTCATTTTTAATTTCTTCTTCTATGTCTATGGTCTATATGGTGATTATGGTCTATGTAGTATGTAGTGTGCATGCAGTAGTCCTCTTCTATGGAGTATGGTCTTTAACACTCTATGTGTATTTCCACGTTTTGAGAGAATATGACTACCTGATTAAGGCTGCTTGCTCAGGCTACAGCTGCAGCAGGCATTGATCAATGATCATACATGCAGGATGCCATCACAGGCATCACTAATACATTATACAAGCACAGAGGTAGGCAGTAGCGTGCCACATGTAGCGGCCGCTACATTTTCAGTAGCGGTAGCGGCTCCACATTTGAGCAACTGTAGCGGTAGCACCTGCTACATATTTAATTTAAGTAGCAATAGGAGGTTTTGCCGCCACAGTGCTACTGCTACCACTACATTTATAGATAAAGCCTTTAGATTTTACTTAATAGTATTAAATACTATGTAAAAACCATCATGATACATACATAATATAAATTACAGAATAAAACTGTACGAAAGATTTCGGTGTAATGTTCCGAACCTCAGCCTGTTACTAGTGTCAGCATGTTAGTTGTTAGTCCAGAGTTGGGCAGTAGCATGCTACATGTAGCGGTCGCTACTAGCGGCTGCTACATTTTCAGTAGCGGTAGCAGTAGCGGCGCTACATTTAAGCAGTTGTAGCGGTAGTGGTAGCGCCTGCTACATTTAGAGCATGTAGCGGTAGTGGCCGCTACATTTCAAAGTAGCGCTGCCCAGCTCTGTACATCCTACATGCATGTGCAAAGTCACATGTTGGTAGTATATGTTTGTGTGCAATCACATAACCTGCATCCATGTTTAAAATATCTTCAGTGAACAGCTCATTTTTTATCTACATATTTCAGCACTCTCCACAGATTGATGAAATGAAATCCTGTGCATCTGGGAAATCTTGCTGCAAATTACAATTCTGGAAAGGTAATGTAAGACTATTAAGAGATTGAATGTTAAAAAAAATTGCTATAGATTGCTGAGCCTTGTCTACAAGTGAAAATTCACTCTATCATGAAGTTTTTTATTTCAATTAAATCTATTGAAACCATTTCTTTACAAAAAATCTACTTACCAGTTGGAATATTGTGCAGAATTGTCATGAATACATGAATGTTTATGGGCAATTTACAGGAATTGTTGGTGAAAGTCATTGTTTTGAGTCATTTTTGAAAATTGTGGAATCTTATTGAGAACTGCGAGCCCTCAGGCAGGCTTGGCTGGATCCCTATGAGATTCTATCTCTATGTATAATCATTAAATCACTGCTTGTAAATAAAGTATCAATCTGAATTCTTATGCTTATTCAGCTATTTATTTATAGTTTCTCTAAATTGAGAAAAAATATGTATATTTTGTATAGCATCAGTTATGATAGATCAAAAGGTTGTACGTCAATGTTCATCATACAATGCGACTTGCCTAAATTTGTGAGACACAAGGAAGTACCTACTACTATTTATTCTCTATTGATCAGTATTAACAACATATCTGAATCAACCTCTATTTAGTAGATATTTTCTAACAAAATACTTTTTTATCCCTGCTAAATTGGAGATTTCACATTTTCTTTGGAAGCTACAGTTCTGATGATGTTGGGGAAAGACTGAGAGGAAACACACATCATAAATTACCCACCTGTCACTGTTGTGGTGGAGGGGAGCACAATTAGGGGCGAGTAATATTGGATGGCCGGTGGTTGGCCAAGATAATAGTAGTGACATTTTTTATTTATTTATAAAGCTTACTGTTCTCGTTGACATGATTTCATATTGATGACTAGTAAAAAATCATTTTTTAGATCAATTAAGTACAATCTACACCCAGTGCCCCTGCTCTCACACAAAACCATAGGTTGGTCAGCACCTTTGCTATTTTCATACACACATATTTTTCCAGTCCATGTTATATCCTGACATGTAGATTATCCAGGCTATGCGCCTGAAAAATCCTAATATGTTCACAACTTCAAAAACAAACTCACAAATATCTAATATATTGTCCTGGAAAATTTTTTGGCCCTAAAAATGACAAAAACCATTTGAAATGATTTATCAAAACTATGGTCTAGAAAAAATTATATGCATCACTAGTCATGACAGGGAAATTTTTCTGTGTGGGTTTCCTTTGCTCACTGTGGGACTCAACTTATGGCCAAGTTTATGGTGTTCATTAATCATCTAGTTCTCAAATCCCTAAAAATATTATAATAAAAATTTTGTTTAGCTTTATTAAAAGTTTTACAAAGATTCGTTAATGTTAATCTTCTACGTTTCCTTCCACAGGATGAATTTTTATGTAACAAACTGAAGAAACTGATCTCTTGGCAAATAATTGGATTAAATATAGAACTATCTTGTGTACCAATGAAACATATCAGCAATGGTCTTCTTATTCCTGCTTATAGATTTGAATTGATATCATTAAAGACTAATTAGTGTATACCTGTGTTAAGCTAATTAATGTATAGCAGTGCTAGTCGTTGCCCCTAGTGTTTATGTAAAAAAAGAAAATACTTTGATGGGCTCAATAGTTATTTTTACTTCAAGTGTACTACAGTGATATTGAAAAATGACTTATCACCACTAGAAGTATAGTATACATCTGGAAACCAGCTTTTGATTGTGGTTCTTGAGCACTGTCTTTTTCAAGATTAAAATGCCTACATCTTTCTGAATTGAAAGTGTACTATTTAATATTGTTCTTTTGGTTTTTAAGGCATTACAGTTAAAATTCAATCAATGAACAAAAATTGCATTGAACAATGAAACTTTGTTGCCCATAAATTGCATTGAACAATGAAACTCATTTGCCAACCTTGTATCCTGCCTGATTCTCTTCATCCTTCAGGCCTTGCTATGCAACAAAACTCATTGTGATTACACATCATAGTATAACCCTTCTTGTGCACGAGTGTCATATTGTGGCGGTAATTGTTAACAGCATCTTTTGAAGACCATTCCTTTCCATCATGGCTGAGCGACAGAACATCTTGAGCAACTTTGGCCTCAAGCCTGTGCCAATGAGCATGAAGCTTTTCGCTACTGGAGATATGGACAAAACTCCAGCAAACTGCATCCCAAGGTGAGTGTTTTTACTCTTGATTTGTGTATTGTGAGGTAACAGGGAAGGTTTTTGGCAGTGGCAAGACACCTTATCATATGAGACATTTCATTGCTTAAGTAATTCTTTATTGAAATATTTCATCATACTAGTTTCCACCATCAAATTCCATCATTGCATAATGTGCATTTTGCAAAGATAAGTACACGCAAGTTAGGTTAGGTTAAATTGGTAAATTGTGAAATGTCCCAATGATGAAAAGTCTGCTATGATGATGTAACAGGGAAAGCCTATTTGATACTGGTGACATGAAAAAAAGTCCAGCCTACTGCATTACCAGGTAAGTGTTTGTCATTCTATATTTGAGTGTTTTGTTATATATATGTTATATTTGTAGGAAAAGCGATGCTTATTCCTAACTCTGAACTCTCATTTCTTCATTTGGCTTGAATGAAACAATGTTTCCTAGGCCCTAGTCCTTGGTTTTGGTCAATAACCGTGCAGCCATTTCATATGATGAAGCAATAAGTATATGATGATACCTTGTACGATAAAGTTGCGTGAATCTGGGTATAAGTACACTTAGTACAGACTTTACCTATTACATTCATCATCTCAATGTTAGAATAAAAAGGTTTTACGGTAAATTGGGAAATAGCATGATTATATATCGAGTTTCGACGTGCGAAAATTCGATGCTGCAATCGGAATTGAGTCTCAACTAAGATAGTTTATAATCCCATACAATTTCTTTTCGCGTAGGTATATAATAAAGAGTGAAAATTAGAATGAAGTCGATATAAGTTGCGCGTTTTTCAGCGTGATTAAAATTGTACCAATTCGTTGTACGTTCATGTTCATTGGAGGCATTTTTAAAGCTGTGTAATGTACCTTTATAATATTTTACAAATACCTACTGAAGTTAGTTGAAAAACCAATTTAATGTCAATTCCTCCTCCATCATCACTGGCAACACGTTTGATTCATGCGTCGGACAGCGTGCTATGTTTTCCCTCTGACTCGCTCCTTATATTTATTTACATGGAAGCTCGTCCACTGACGCCAGTGCTCTCTGTGGTCTTGCCGAGTGTGGTTGTGCGCGCTTATTCTCCGCTAGTGACCCCGCTCATATACTCAATGGAGTCCACCCTTTGACTCATAGTAAACTGAAAATACATCTCAATGCAGGAAAATAGTTGATTAGCTTCCTCGATTCTAATCTCAGTTAAAAAATAATGGATCAATTTGGTAATGGAAACGCCTCTGGGTTCGGCTTTACCCATTCTACGAGCGGTGGCTGGAAAATTATGATTGTTTTTGTAGAACTTTCCTTTTTGCTGCGTTGAATTGAACATTGGTATTATTAATCTCTATCAATTGGGATTACCTTGTTAATTCACATTTCATTCACGGTTAAATTAACGTTCCGGTCCATGGCGTTGTTGCTCCGTAGAGTTTACCGATTTCGCCTCCTGTTCCCTCACCTCGAAAAACTTGAGCCGTAACTACAGTAGCGAGGCCATGCGCTCATCCCAGCGCTTATACGCAACTGTTTTATGGAAAAGACTGGGACATTTGGATGCTTTATGGAAAACATTGGGACATTTGGCTGTTTTAAGGATAACATCGAGGACATTTGGCTGTTTTAAGGATAACTTCGAGGACATTTGGCTGCTTTATGGATAACATCGGTGGCATTTAGCTGTTTTAAGGATAATATCGGGGTGGGGGCTATTACTGTTTATTTGGCTGTTTTGAAGACTAGCTCGCGGACATTTGGATTGGAGTTTAGGGACAGGCTGGCTGTTCTAAGGTCAACATCGTGGGCTAGGCGAATTCCAAACCAGATCGGGTACTATATGACTTTTAAAATTGTCTGGCTGTTCTTGAAAAAAACTGGCTGGGTTCGATTTCATATAAAGCATTTTGCTATGTGCAAGCTTGTATTTAATGTAACTATATAATTGAGTGACTGGTTCAATTTCATATAAAGCGTTCTGCGATGTGCCTGGTTGAATCTAATGTAAGTATGTAATTGAGTGACTGGTTCGATTTCATATAAAGCATTCTACGAAGTGCCTGGTTGAATCTAATGTAAGTATACAATTGAGTGACTGGTTCGATTCCATATAAAGCCTTTTGCGATAGGTACCATGCCTGGTTGAATCTAATGTAAGTAGGTATATAATTGAGTGACTGGTTCAATTTCATATAAAGCATTTTGCGATAGGTATGCCTGGTTGAATCTAATGTAAGTACCTATATAATTGAGTGACTGGTTCGATTTCATATAAAGCATTTTGCGATAGGTATGCCTGGTTGAATCTAATTCTAATGTAAGTATATAATTGAGTGACTGGTTCGATTTCGACTGCGGCGGCCAAATCATTCGTATTTATCAGTGATCTGAGCTCCTTAATAAAAATATATGCGTCCAGTTCTTCCAATACGATGAAGGATAAATTATTATTATTTTTCCGGGTGCCGAAATTATTTGTCCGGGTTTTGCGGCCGTTTGCATAATGCAATGGATTTGTCTTGATAATGCAAAAACATCGAGGAAAATACCGTGAAAGTGATATGTGAAATTGTGATGATATTAGTTTTGTATCACGCGGTTGTGCTGTTAATTTTGCTATCTTGTTTTTTTTATGTCTGGTGCATGCGTATGTTATTTTTGCAGCAGATTTTTTTATGTGAGTTTTTTTCGTACGGTATATTCGATGTTGTAGTTACCTGTGGCTAATGCTCTTCGTTATCACGTTTTGTTCATATTTCCGTTGCGCGAGTGAAACTCCATTAGGATTATTTTCATTTAATTATGATTTTATTCAGTTCTGATAAACATTATCGTTTAATGCGATGGCCTCATATCGTTGAGTTGATAGCAAATTTACTGAACAGAAATTCATCAACCTATAGAGCGTCCAAAAAATTTCAACTGGCTTCTGCTGCTTATTTTTATTTTATTTTAGTGACCGTCTTAGGATTTACAATTAAATTGGTAATATCGATATTACTTTAATAATATTCGTATAAAGTTTTAAACTCGTAGGTGCGAAAGAGTTTTAAAATGTTCTCGGTACTAAAGTGCACATAATTGACATAGTAAAATGGTTGAACGCGTTTAATTTCTTTGAATTATTCTACGTTCCATAAAACATATTTTTAGATTTCACTTCTAGTCCATGTCGCTTCACAATAAAGGTGTTCTATTTCTGGATGACAAATTTATCGTGCTAGCGCCAGCAAATCTAATCACTGCATCTATCTTGTATCGATTTTTCCGTGTCTTTTGTCCTCTACGGATGCCGACCTCCGATCCCTCTATGGCCCACATTTCTACTCCTGTCATTTTTTTTAACTGAAGTGACAACTTCGCTTCTTTTTATTCGGTTATATTCCCACAATGAGGGAAATGAAGTAGACTTGGTCCAAATTTAGATACAATTTTTGCTTTTGTATGCATCATTTTGACCCAGTTTGACCTGCTACATGCGGAAAGTGTGTCGCTGTTTTTGGACAACATGACCCCGTCAGTTTTCGGAGTATATCAGCCGATAACAATTTATCCGCGTTGTAATTCCACTATTCGGAAGATACGAACAGGGATGTCGAACAGGGATTTGTTACGTACATGAACCCATTCTTATGGATTTAATTAAAAACTTCATAAGTTTGAAAATATTTTGAGTCAATCATTGTACGTCTCTTCACTAGTCTTCATGAATAAATCCCGATTTTGAACGCAAGAATTTCAATGACTAAAGCCTACTTTCACGCATGTATCTTAGTGTAGTTTTGTGCTGTTACCTGTAATTTCAAATTTATGCCTGAAGTAGTTAATTTAAAATGGAACTATGTCTACTAGGTCATCGTTCGGTGGTGATGGACAATTCTCGATGGAAGTCATAAGACTGACTGTCGACTGAATGTCTATTGAATGCCATACTTTAATATTTGACTATTGAAGCGTGGCCCCAAAGCAGGCGTCGCGTTTCATTCATTCTTCTTGTGAAAGTAATTATTTAATTCATTCCATTATGCATTCATTGAATTGACGGGACAAATTACTGAGTCCCTCCCAATTTAAAGATTCAATTATTTGTTTGCGAAAAAAGTTCGCTTTCTTCAGGATCGAGCGATTATTGTAAATTTTTCGCACATAACTTTTAACTGCGTGGATTTGGTGAAGAATTTAATTTGGGTTATATACGGTATCGTCCGTTTAAAATTGCTAGGTTTATTTATAAGATACAAAATCCGCATGCATTTATTCGAGTTTATTCCATTGAAGACTTGTTTATGTGAATTATAAAAGAAAATATTGATATTACTCAAGATATATATTGATACCTCTGTTCTTTACGCATTTGACACTGAAGATTCTATACTCATAACTTGGAATAATATAATAACGATGAAAGGTTCTAAGTGTCTATAATTATTTTGCATTTAGTACATTCAATGACGCCGTTGTTAATTTCTGGCAATTCCAAAATTTCTAATATTCTTCGTGATTAATTTATGACGATCGAATAAAAGTACTACGAGACATCATATTATCGTCATATGGATAGCAGTAATCTTAACAAATGGTGAAGGTGAAATTAATAATTTATATATTGTTTTTGATTGGCAATCGTCATCGAAATAAATTTATTTTTGATGCGCCAAAGTTTGCTGTGATTCCTGTACGTATTTGATTAATCTTAGCGTCGTGGCATTCACTTGACGAGCCCGTGTGTCTGCTATAGATTATTCTATCATAACCATGTGCCGGTTATGTCCGGATATATCTCGCCTTAAATCAATGAGTATTGAGTATTGTCTTTGTGCTGTCTGAATTAAAGGGTCTTTAGTATGCCGCGCTTGAATCGATCGACACTCGTTCAAAATTTATTCAGACTTCTGTAATGCTCAAGAATTCTGTAATTATTTCTTAGAACTTTTAGTTGTGTCCTAAAGTTGTGTAATGGGTGATTATTATGCGTGACTGGTTGATAGTTCTGTGATACCTT